CGCCGCAGGCCATGAGCACGCATGCGGCTCACAACGGCCCAGCTGTGAGAGCGGCTGACCTGAGCAGTTCCAGGTTCCATCCCAGTTCCATCAGAAGCCACAGTTTTTTTCTTTGCGAGCCGCATGCGGCTCAACAACTTCAGACTGGCCACTCCTGGTCTATACTATGAGCTTTCCACAAGAGGCAAGGCAAATGAAGCACAAATTAGCATGTTCTCTTGCTTCATTTGTCTACTTTCATTCCATTTTTGCGCTAGAGGTTTTTGCGCAAAAATAGGCAGTGTGGCCGTGGCCGTTTTGCACAAAACCCCTTTCCACAAGATCCTTATGCCTCTCTGGGACAGGCATCTTCCCTCTGCTCCAGCCTTATACCCCTCTGCCCCATGATCTCACCAGCCCGCTCCCCTGCATCGCCCCATGCCCCTCACTCAGTACAACCTCTGCCCCTTCCCATCCTGCCCCTGCATCCTCCCTCATTGCCTACTCCTGCCCCCACGTCCCTGTGCCCCTAGCACACTCATCTGCAAGGCAGCAACGCTGGGGTGAGCTGAGGTAAGTGGGAAGGGCAGAGTCTCTTTGCCTGCAGGCTGCAGCTCTGGGACTGGGGCAGTCAGAGCCTGGGGCTGCCCAGGACTGGCTCCAATCCAGCACGTGTGCTGGCTGCCCAGCCCCAGCTCTTCGGAGCAGGCCCAGTCCCAACCGCACCATTTTAAAAAGCCAGTAGCCCAAATTACCATGCCACGAGTAGACGTGGTAGTCCGATCCCAAACCCTTCCCTCGATTGAATTGTTACTCCTCATTGCACAAGGAGTAACAGTTAAATTCAGGGAAGGGTTTTCTAATGGAATACCAAGTCTACATGTGGCGCAGTAATTCGGGCTACCGGCTTTTTAAAATGGCAACTGGCTGCGAATATGCTAATCAAGCATGGGATATTTAAATCCCGTGCTTCATTAGCAACTTCGGTATGCTTCATTTGCCTCCCTAGTCCGAACTAGGGGGCAAGTGTAAACATACCCTCTATCTCCTTTGCTGGTCTCTCTGGCAACTCCTTCAGGAGTTTGGCCTCCTGCCTCTACCAGTCCTGTGGGTGGGGAATGCCTCAATTCTCCTACTCTTATGCCAGGTTCTAGACTACAGAGCCCTGTGTATCCACCATGCTTACCCTGGAAGGGCCAGATATGCACTAGGATCTATCTCAGCTGGTGCCATCAGTGTGAGGAGGCTCAGAGCCACAGTTCAACCCCAGATGTACACAAATAACTGCAATAATCACAATGTGTTAATGTCACCTGAGTGGGTAGGGGTGTTTGTGTCTCTCACTAATCCGTGGCTCAATGGTCCTCACGAGTGGGCCACTAACCCCACCCCAGACTCCAGTGAGTCACAGCAGTTTTCAAGACAATCCAATTATGAGTCTGGGCTTTTCAGAGTTTAGAAAAAAACATGTTTTACACAGCAAACTAGAACTAGCTTTACCCAGAGAAGACCCAGTATAATGAAAACAAAAGTGGTGTCATCTCACAATGAACCTTGTGGGGGACATCTCGCTCCCCTGGGGTACAGAGCCCCCAGAAGGGTCTGAGGCAGGACTTTAAAAGAAGGTATTGTGAGGCAACATGTGTTTGTGATTGAAATGTAACAAATATATATATTTTATTCAGGTTAGGTGACTTTGCCCAGAGTGAGAGAAAATAGTGATTTTTATCCAGGGCAGCTTGGGCAACAGTCTGAAACCCACTTAACAGTGCATGAATGTATGTGCTCTTATCCCACATAGTGTAGGCATCTTTGCATTTAGCCCTGAAAACAAAATTGGTGGTGTGCCTCAGTTTCCCTTTTCACATCACACACCAATTTTGGAATTCCCCTTTCTCAGGTGAGAAGCTTCAACACTAATTACAAGTACTAACAGTATAATACCAGTGTTACAAGATTAGAGTTTAGATGATTCCACTCTGGGTACATCTAGACTACAGGTTTTGTCGACAGAAGTTTTGTCGACAGATACTGTCGACAAAGATTCTGTCGACAAAGAGCATCTAGACTACAGCCAGTTCTGTCGACAAAGCAAGTCGCTTTGTCGACATGAGAGCGTAGAGGCAAAGGATAGTGTAGATGCAATAACGCCTTCTGTCGACAGAACTCTCGACAAAAGGCGTTATTCCTCGTAGAATGAGGTTTACCACCGTTGACAAAACTGCCAAGTTCTGTCGACATTAAGTCAACAGAACTCGGCGGTAGTGTAGATGCAGGTATAGTTTTGTTGACAAAAGTCCCATTTTGTGCTTTGTCAACAAAACCCTGTAGTCTAGACACAACCCTACATGCAATAACACCTTCTGTCGACAGAACTCTGTTGACAAAAGGCGTTATGCCTCGTAAAATGAGGTTTACCAGTGTCGACAAAACTGCTGAGTTCTGTCGAAGTTATGTCGACAGAACTCAGCAGTAGTGTAGACGCAGGTATAGTTTTGTCGACAAAAGTCCACTTTGTCGACAAAACTCTGTAGTCTAGACACACCCTCTGATACAGGGAGAGAGGTCTGGAAAACTTTTAACCCTTACAGCAGTTTTCTTTTAGAGAGTTTTGATTTCCTCCGGTGTCCCCCCTTAGACACAATTGGAGTTATTTGATTTTTCCCCACAACCTTCTGACTCCACTTTTACCTGGCTGAAAACATTAAAACAGCAGAACAAGCTACTGACCTGCCACCTGCAGTTCCAATAAAGCATCTTCATAAGAGACACTGGACTCAAAAAAACACTTGTACTGCCCATCATCTGAGGGTTGAACATCACGGATTCTCAGGGAAACTCTCCCATCGGTGATATTGTCTTTCAAGAGCTCAGTCCTCCCTCGATATTCCGGCATCTGCTCCTTGTTCTGATCCTGCCCATCGCGGTACAGGTGCACAGCTGCAGAGAACTGGGATCGGAACCACCTCACTTCCATGTTTGCAGCGCTCATCCGGGGGGAGAGGTGGCAGGACAGGACGGCCTCCCCACCGACCACGGCACTGATTGGGTGGTCAGGGCCAGTCACGCTGAACTGTGCTGTGAAATGTTCAGTGAGAAAAGACTCAGAGGGGTATCTGTGTTACTCTGTTTCAGCACAAACTGGGAGAAGAGTCCTGTGGCACCTTAAAGCAGCAGTGGAGAACCTCAGGACAGGGGGACAAATGCAGCCCCTGTTAGCCTAGATCTGGGCCCTGAGGTTTGGGTCTCCTTCCCCAGTATTGGGGAGCCCAAAGTGGTGTTCTAGCCTCTCCTGGGGCTGGAGCACACAAAATCTGCAGCCTGCCCCTCCCCCAGGTTCTCCTATGGGAGGGGAACGTGGGGAGGGTCTTTCTGCTTCTCAGTCGGGGGACATGTCAGTGAGTGTTTGTTTTGGGGGTTTTTACTTTTCACTTCTGAGCAGCCCCCATCTGATTTTTCTGTGGGTCAAAGGCCCCTGAGGCAAAAGTTTCCCCTCCCCTGCCTTAAAGACACATCCAGCTTTTATACCAAAAATCTTTGTTTTCTTCAGTTTCTAGGATCTGGTCTAATCCCGTGAATGCAATTCTCCTTAAGGGTGGCACGTCTCCGGAGCTGTTACCTGTCACACCCCTTATGGCTTGTCATTTGGAAAAAAGAATCCCAACTGTGTGTACAGGCGGTTTCTCTCTGTTATTGGCAGGCTGGGCGGAGGTGGTTTACAATACAAGGCAGGGACGGGAGACAGACCAAGCAAGAGCAACAGCAGCAAACCCAGCGAGGAGGCTGGAGCTCTTACCTGATGCCAGACTGTGAGCTTGCACAGCGAGGCAGAGCACGAGGTAGCCAGGCAGAGCAGGGCGCACTGCAGAGCAGGGGGAGAATGAGGAAACCTTCCCTGTCATCGTCGCTGGGCCTGGGGAACAGGAGAAATAACAAACCAGAGGGTGGGTGAGTGGGATGCAGTGACAGCACAATGACTGTCTGACTCTCACAGCCCTGGCCCGTGGCTCAGTTGTTTCCATAACACACTTCCCAGTACCCACAGACTAAGAGCAGAGGGGCCATTAGATCATCCAGTCTTATCTGTGCCCTTGGCATCACCATTGCTTTGGGGAAAGGAATTGCTTCTCTGCTCGGGACATGGTGAACACACCCGGGTGCCTGAGCTGCAGCGCCACTCGGACTGTTTAGGCTGAACTCAACACATATCCATGGAGGATCTGGAAAAGACAACAGGAAGCCTCAATGACTGAGCATCAACTCCTGAAGTAAGTTTCTTCATCCACCTCTTTGCAGGCACTGCTGCGGCCACATCTGGAGTATTGCATCTAGT